TTTTTTTTTTTTTTTTTTTTAGTAGAAAAGCAATTTGGTTTCTATAAAGGAAAATTAAAATGAGCTTAATAGGGTAAAGCAAAGTGAATTTTACTCATTCCTAAATAAAAGTTTTTTTCGATGCCTCAAATATATAAAATACAAGAAATATTATAAAATTTATTGTATTGAAATACAAGAAGGGTTAATATTTTAAATTCAGTATAGAATTTTAAGTAGAGGAGAAAATGTAGGAGAAACAGCATTTTGTCTGATAAGAAGCCAGGATATTTATAAAGTATTTCTTAGTAATATGTATTCAATATCGATTATTTAATAAAATGCTTATTAATATTAAATATGCTTAATCTTAAATCTGGGAGATTATCAACCAAACTAAAGTGGCAGTATTAATGTGGCTTTCTCTCAGTTTCATTTATACTAATTAAGTCTTCTAAGTAAATAGTTTTCTAATATTTTGACTTTGTGTTTTGAATAGACAAACATTTTGGAATTGCAATTGGCCGGGAATATTTTTTGACTAAGCCCATCATATTTGGAGATTTCATTAAGGCAAGTATGTTCTAATGACTTGACTGCATTTGAAGGTTATAATCATATGACTATTACAATGATAAGCCTTATAATTTGAAGATTATAAAGTTCAGGTTGCACCTGTAAAGATTAAAGATCTAGACTAGGGGTCAGCAAACTATGGCCTGTAGGCAAAATCGGCCCTCTGCCCATTTTTGTAGATGAAGTTCTATCGGAACACAGCCACGCAATTGCATTTGACCGTGTTCGATTTATGTGGTTACTTTCACGTTACAAGGAGCATAGAGTAGAAGTAGCAGAGACTATATGGCCTGCAAAGCCTTTCCTATCTGGCCCTTTAGAGAAAAAGATTGCTGACTCCTGATCTAGTTACATTCATTTTTCTAATAGTTTGAATTAGTAAGGAGGTTTAGTCTCTTAACTCAGGACTAGACTCCCCCTGCTATGCTGCATGTACCTGTGCAGGCTCCGCTCAAATGCTTCCAGTAATGGGAAGCTCATTAGTGAGCAGTGTGACTCTCTCCATTTCAGAGTAGCTCTGATTAGCAGCAAAATTGTCCTTGTATTAAGTTCCTCAAGTCTGTCGCCCCAATAGCATCCACATATGGGCCCAAATTTTACCCTCTAGACCTGCCTAGAATAAGCCTGCCATCTAACCACCCTACCTTTGCGGACAGACAGCCGTCTTGTTGGACAAGGGGACTCTTGTGTGGGTTCAGCATTTCCTAGTGTCTGGGGTTGGGAAGAGCCACGTCTCTCTTGTTCACCCTCAATCCCAGCACAGAGCCAGGTACGTAGGGGCTCTTAGTCACTGGCCTTTGTACTATATGTATGCAATCCCTCACCACTCCGTAACCCTGACAAATAAAAAAGATAAACAGTTTATTTGTATAAAATATATTTACTTAAATGTTTTATTAAATACAAAGTCTAAAATTTGTTTTCCGATGGTGATTCTGTTTCCAATGTGTTTCCAGTGATGTTATTATCAAGTGGGGGAATGAAGCAAAGGAAAAGACAGGCTGGATTCTTAATGCTTTGCCTACAGACATTTTAATCAAAGTTTCCTAATGAAAATGCCCCCAGGGCAGTTGCTACAGCAAAGATAAGACATCATCAGTAGGTTGAAACAAGACCTCAGTTCCCTATAGTTTATACCACATTTCATTCTCAGGGATTTACTTATTAGGTGACTACTGTATAAAAACTACATATAGTTCTGGCATGATTTTTTATAACCATAACAGTCTGCCATGCATAATGTTCAACTCATTTAGTTTTTCTGATGTCAGCAGTCTAGGAGCAAAATTATGAAACCCCAGAGTAACGTATAGTAAGAAAAGTTAAAAATCTATATCTGAGCTACTGTGTGAATTTTATTGCAAACAAAACTGAAGTTCCAATATACCACTTGAAGAAGTTAAAAGAAATGGACTTTCGCTTAGTCACAAAAGTCTGAGTTTCGTTAGTCTCAGTTTCCTTGTTTTGAAAGCCATCGTAACATATATAAGCAAATGATTAAATAGCAACATAGGGAAAATATTGTTTCCTGCTAAGGTCATGTATGTTATATATATTTCTATATCAGAACTTATTCAACTCATTTCTTCTCCCATAAATCATCTTATAGTTTGGAGCAGATAAGGCTGATCGGATTTATGACGACATCCCCGATATGGAGAAAATCGCAAATGTTCTACAGGACTATCTTGATGATTATAACCTTACAAATCCCAAAGAAGTAAAGCTGGTGTTCTTCCAGGATGCTATAGAACATGTTTCAAGGTATAGTGCTGTAAGGTGCCCAATAGTACATGGTTCTAATTTGTTTTGTATAAAAACGTAAGGATTAAGTTGGGCAGAGCTCTTCCCACAGCCATTAGATAGACTAAGGTCTATAACAAATCTCAGTATAATTTTGATATATTTTAAATAAATATGCATGAACTTCCTATGGAATTCCCCAGGGTTATTATTTTTGCTAAACCTTAATAGATTGTTTTTTTTGTTTGTTTTAAATGTCATGGATAATTACAAAAAAGGGTCTAAGTTGTTCCCGGAGATACGCGTGGGGTATAGCAAGTCTGTTATATGCATGCCTAAAGAAAGAGGAGTTCAAGGTTATAGAAAAACAAGTTGAATGCAGGATCCTAGATTCCATTTGCTTGTGAGCCCGACTCTTACCCATTGCAAGTATCTTTTGAGGGACATCCCTGACACCTAGGTGTCCAGCCTGAATACCTGCAGTCCTTGAAGCACACATCACTTTTTGAAGCGGCTCGTGTCCTGTTGGACAATTCTGTGTCAAAATGACCCTTCGAGGGTGAGTCAAAGTTTGTTCCTTGTGACTCCTGTGAAGCAGGAATAATAATGGTGTGAGTATAAAACCATGACATGAAGAATCTCATTTAACTGTCCTAACACCTCTCTATGGCTCAGTATCATAATCTCTGTACACGTGACTCTCAGAGAATGTTCCAGCGGCCTGTTGCTGTGCGATAAGGCACCAGTGGCTGTGTCCTGGGACTTCTCACGCAGTGCTAGTGAGACAGCACCCGAAGCACCCGGCACACCTCTGCCTCCAGGTGGACGGTGGCAGCAGCAGGGCCATGTCCGGGCTTCTTACTTGCTGGCTCAGGGCTCCAAAGGCTCGAGCCCCGAAAGAACCTGGCAGAAGCCAAGTGGCCTTGCACAGCTTAGCCTTGCAAGTGACACGGCTTCACTCTGTTAGTCCACAGAGTCATACAGGTCCTCCCAGGTTCTCAAGAGGGTCAGAGACTTTCTCTCTTTTTTTTTAACCCTCACCCTAGAATATTTTTTTCCCATCGCTTTTCAGAGAGAGTGGAAGGGAGAGAGAGAGAAACATCGATGGGAGAGAGACGCATCGATTAGGGGGATCGAGCCTGCAACTGAGATACATGCCCTTGACCGTAATGGAACCCAAGACCCACCCATCCACAGGCCACACTCTGTCTACTGAGCCAAATGTCTAGGGCACAGAGACCATCTCTTGATAGGGCCAAAGAGCAAGTAGGACCAGAAACATTTTGCAGCTATATTTGGACAAAACCCTGTGCCACCGAGAATCCAGGTGAATTGTCCAAAATCCGCTAGCTGGTGAGTGCCGGGGGGGATGGCAGCCAGTGATTTGACTAACTCTGCCGCACATACCTCCACCCAAAATGCATCAACTCTTTTTTGTAACAATCCTCCGTATTTAAAGAGGATTACCAGGCTCCTCTGAGCTTTGTCTTCTCCAGGCATAATTACTAGTGCCTGGTAGAAACTATTTCCACCTTTCAACACACTAAGCAATTTATAACTTTTCAGTATTCCACTTAAAATGTGATACCAGATTGATGTACTATTCTGTGGAGTAAGCAGTGTAAAATGTGTGAGGACAGGTTTCCCATGGCCTACCACTACGGCAAGATTTTAATGGCTTTCTTTTCTTCCCTTGTCAACTACATTTTAATGTTGGACCTTGTTAATGTTGGACAGTTAAATCCCCAGGATTTTTTTTTAATAAACCATAAACCAAGTCTTTCACCTTTCCTATATTTCTGCAATTCAATTAACTCTAATTCAAGGATGTATGTTTGTCACAGCTCAAGTCTTATACAATAGTTTGTCATTGGATTATCAGGACATCACTGGCTTCTAATCTGTCCCTCTCCCAACATACCCACAAACTGTGTCCTAACAACTTTTGTTCCCATAGCTCAGGTAGGCCCTAAGCCTGAAAAGGAAAACATAATGGCAGCACTCTGGTCTGAGAAACTTCCTGGAGCACAGGCCAGATGATAGGCAAAGTCAGCTTAATTGTATTTATAATCTTTCTTCTTTTGTGAAAGGGAATCACCAGGCTACTCAAGGTTAGCTTAAAATACTGCAGGAGGAAATGAAAAACCATTTGTAGAATGGGGGAGATTTGGTTTTCAGATACACGAAGGACTGCCATGTGAAACGATGTAGACCTGTCCTCTATTTTTCTAGAGAGGATCAGTAGTTAGGAATTAGAGGCAACAAATATCTATTTGTTGTAAGAGCTTTTAAACACCCACTGCTGATTAGCAATTTGTTGTTAGAGCCTTTAAACTTGTGAACATGAGTTATGGGGCAAATACTAAACATTCAGTAATTCAGCAGATACTACATTTATATTTGTTGGTGACATTTTAGTTGGTTTTCTCCCCT